CCTTCTGGGAACTCCCTGTCAGGGCCAGTCGCCTCTGACCTGGACTTCAGGAAGCAGGTGCGAGATGCCTGGCTAGCGGCTGCCAGGGAACAAGCCGTGCTTCGTGTTACATCCAGCCCTGGATCAAAGCCCTGCGAAGGGCTCGCCTATGGTTCCTCGGTGCCAAAACGAATCGCAGCCCAAAATACCGGCCCATTCACATAGTTTTGTTGTGAGCTCAAAGCACGTTTTGCGTGCTAGAGTTCTGTGCTGTTTGCACTTGTGCAAGTTTGCCAGCTACTACCCTTGAGCCGTTGTAGGAAGGCTCGCATGCCAAACTGTGGCAAGGGTGCCAATTTTGGGTACAAGCTCTGAGTCGGACATGCCATGCAACGCCGGTGAACCGAACAGAACGAGAAACAACCTTGGAAGGCGACACCTCCGGGTCGAACTATCCGAGGTTAACGATGGAAAAATATGTTGCATGTGGTGGGTATGCTAACAGGTTGAGTGGCACGCGCGATGAACCAGTCGGTCTGAGACCGATGGAGCTTGTATGTCTCTATATGATACAGGCAAGACATATTGCATTTCATGTGCACCTGAGGCTTTTTGAGAAACGGCGGTCTCAAACGCCTGCGCAGTCTAGCAAGAGCGATGGCCTTTTGGCTTGGATGTTCATACATGGTGTTTGCTTTCATGTGTGACCCTTATTGAGCCCTGGTACTATTTATGGCCTGCTGGTTTTGGCTAGCATTTCTTAGCAACTGCTGTTCAAGACGTGTTCGGTCCAGCTTTTCAAATTTTTTGACAGTCGCGACGGCATTGACACCGAGGACAAGCAGCGCCTACGGCACCCATGAGGTCAACCCCCAACATGGACGGCGGGCAACTTAGTCTGAAGATTCCGCCGCATGTTTCGCATGTATCTTCATAAGTCACAGTGGTCAGGAATTGACATCAATGCCGAGTGGAAGGACGCGCTACAAATCGAGTTGGCCAACCGACGCCCGCAAGATGCGCGGGCATGTTCCATGCTTGCATAGATCAGCATGAAAACATGGCATGCCGAGATGGACCGCAACATTTGTTTGCCTTTCATTCCCGGGTCAGGCGTTTCAGCTCTTCGACGTCTCTGCCGGAAGGATGCTGCAACTTGTCCAGGAACATGTGAGCTACAGTCTAAACTCCTTAAAGGGGTTATATAGGGGGATTATATAGGGGACTACTATAGGGCTTATAACAAGGATCCTAGGAGTTTCGACTAAAGCTCATGTGTGATGCAAATCGTACGATACCCTACCTATCTAAGTTTTGGTGGAACCGTGTTTTGGACCACCACCCAGCAGCTGCACATCCGGAACAAATGCATCAAAACGTCGGCAACTTTGTTGCTGATTCTTGTTGCGTTGCATGGATTGAGGCGTCCAACAGTTTGCTGGACGAACTGCGCGAAGCACCAATGCTTCCCGCAAGTGACCAAAGAATCCAGGCCGGACCAGCAGCAACCGTTACGTGGACATGAATATGGGTTCTGCACCATGACAGGCCATCATTGAGAACTTGTTGGCACCGCCAAAGCAAGAAAGTGGCGGGAACATCCCGGTACCCAGTCAGCAGACCAATTGCAGGCATTCCATCATGCAAAAGCCATGTTTCTCACAAGGACTTGCGCTAAATTAGGATGTTAGTTGGGTATGCAACCAAGGTCAAGACTGTGATTTCTCGATTTGACCAGGCACAGTCATTCGTCAAATGTTAGCATGATATGTGGCACCACGTTGTTGGCAGGTGTCCAGCGAAATCAATTGCCCGAATGGATGTGAAGGCCCAGCGAGGACGGGGCGCCAAGAATTGTGTTGCATGTTAATCGCGAAATCCCCCTGGATTGGAATTGGTTTCTTGCAGTGTCGCTTGCAATTCAGACATGGGTTCAGCGACTGTTGTGAAAGCGCAGTTGTCTTTGCCCTTCAGGCCTTCCATTCGAGAGGCATGTTCCATAATAATAATATCGCATCCTTTACACGGTAGACGTTGGAAACACAAACGGTTGTTCCCCATGCAAAATACATTTGAATCGAGGTATGGCCGCCGCATGGGTGATGTGAGCAAGTATCTGGCCATGGAGCGTGCTTGGGTGTTGTCATGGTGTTGTGTTGTAATGTGACCCAGGTGCTCGTGCATCCTGTACCGTTGACAGGTGCCGACCAGCTGACGGCAGTTCTTGCGTATTGTCCACGGTGCCATTGCATCTTTGACGCTGACATGTGAAGATGCTTGCAGTTTCCTCACCAGTGCCCCCAGCTTGCAAAAATGAACGTGGTTTATGTTTGCCGCTGCTTGAATCGAGATCATGACGTGAGGGAAGTTCTGCAGTACGGAGTCCAAGCGGGGCCAAGCATATGTCTATAGTAACGCATGTTTTGGCAGTCATTTGCATTCTCAACATGTCCGTTGATGTGCACTAATTGGAGCCGAGGCCACTTCGCGGCCAACCATGCAGATGGCGGTGTTGTTGCTGGAGTGTTTGCGGTGGAGGCCATGTTCCCGACATTTCACGACATTGGTATTAGCGGTCGGCTTCAGCTCCGTGGCTATGGTCCTGCGTCCGGTCACCAACGGATGTGCTTGCTATACCCGATGTGGATATAGTGGCCATTGGCTGCGACACATACCGCGAACTCTGACCAGCCAGCTTGGGCGCGTCCTGGAAACAGGTGGAGAAATTGCAGGTGAGAATTGCCACAGCCGTTTTGATAAAGGGCACAGCAGCGGTCTTGCGTGGCATAAACGTGCACGATGATGTTTTGAAACTGGAGCACGCTGTTTCACAACATGTCCCTATGGGCTTATTAGCATGAAACCTATACATTAAGCCCCGAAGAATCCCGAACCCGAAAATCTTCATGTTGGAGCCAGATCACCTGTACCCCGCTGAGCCCAAGCCCACCAAAGCATGACCAAGGCTTATAGGTTAGGGCTTCACATGCATTATCATGGCAACACAAACGCCAGCTAAGCACTCGCATTGACCGACCCCCAAACCCATACATTTCCAACCCCTAAGCATCCCGAAGCCGCAACCTTTTTTTTTTTAGTGATATGGCGCGAGCCCCCAGATGGATGTTATTGGGTGCCGTGGCGCACGCGCCGGCCCTTCCAGCAACTGGACAAACACACCGTAAGCATTGCATTTTCCATGTTTGGGCAATTGCCCCAACCCATCGGTCTCCATTTTCAGGTTTGAGAGAGGTTTGCGCGGTACCTCTGAGTCCCAAGGTAGGGTGGGAAGGTTCAAAAAGATGGACCATTTGGATCATGTTGTTGGCATGCAAGGATCCCGTCCCTTGATCTTAGCATCATGTAGCTTAAGCTGGCAGTTGCTCAGACTTTCTATGCGTGTTCCCTACCGCCTAAAAGCTGAGATTCACACGTGTTGGTTTCTTGGTGTTCGAAATATTCTGGAGCTGTGGAGAGCGCACCAAGCACAGAGAGCCTTGCAATCCTCTAATAGTGCCCAGTTTTGTGAAGTCCCCGCCCCTAACCCCCAAACAGTCGAGTTTCGTCACGGAGGTCGCAGCAAATGCTGGGCGGATCCTCGGCACCGATCAGGTCTGCTGATTTGCTTTTCCTGGTTCCAATTCACGCATCGCATGGCACAGTACAGTGCATCTCCAATGCGAAACAAAATTTCCATGCGATGTTGGGTGATGCTGTCTTTGGCCCGCTTGAGTGGATTGCACGCCTGCACATGTGCAAATCTATTGCACCATCATCGATTCAGATTGTGCGTCACGACCGCCCCCAAGAACACTGTGCGCTTCTAACAAAGTCTACTCCCAGCGCCTTCCTCAAATTGCTTAGGTCCCTAGGCTACTCCGTGCTGTCTGGGGGACTATGTTCGCCGAGGTTCTCAATGCGTGACACCGTCCACATTGGTCACCACGAGAAGGTCCACAAGCTGCATGCTTGTTAAATCCTGTCCCAGGAAAGTGTTTATATAATTCCGGAGCGTCCTAGTTGCGATGGAGAGCTCTTGTGGGTTGCAAACTTGTATTTTGACACGTCCACTTGCTATCAGTGCGTGTGTGTCTGCCTATGCCATTGCGCGGAGGCGCAGTGGATGCAGCTTTTGCTGGGTTTGTAATCCTTTGCACCTGATGGTTAGCACCCCTCCAACTTGAAGAACATGAAGTATGTCTCTGGCAACTAGAGGGGAACATCGTTGCATGTGGGGTCCAGGCATGGAAGAGTGCATGTCCACTGCATCTGCTTGTGTTGAGATGTGTTTCCATCATCTGCCACAAGGTGTGTTCCTAAGCGCTACACCCAATCCAATCCTGCAGCAGCCATTTGCCGCAACAGGTGAAACTCCCAGAAGGCGGCGAAGCGGATGTTCAGACACTGAGCGATTTTAGCTCCTCGTTGGCAAGTCTAGGTCTCTCGTTTTAGTTGGTTTCCAAATGTAGTATGCTGAGGAAGGCAAAATGGTTTCTATCAGCTTGGCCTAGAGGGCCCAAGCATGATAATGTCCAGGGATTGGCGCTGAAAAACACTGAGAGCATGCTATGTGGCACGAGCCCTTATGCAGACATGCAGGGATGTCATGTGACTTTGTATGAAACAAATCGAAAACATTGAAGACAATACAGGTAGCTTGAAGCCACAAGTCATAGGGTCAACGCAACACTTGCAAGCCTGCTCACACTTGTCTCAAAACCAAAACACAGCCATTTCCCCTGAGTGAAACCTTCCGCACTCGTATCAGTCCTGACATAGCCTCGCCGAACTCTGCAACACCGAAGCCTTGATTCATGAAGTAAGTCTCTTACCCGCAAAAAGCCTTTGACGCTGTAACTCCTTAACAGCGTGCGCCAGCTTGTGTCAGAAATCGATTCCCCGAGCATAGCTTAAGCGTTAAGCCCACGCAGCCTAGCAAACCACACCCGAAAGCCATATGCCCTAAACTCCTGAACCCTAACTGAACCCTGATCACTGGAGTTTCTTGCCGCTTGGCCCAGGTACTGGCCTCCCAGTGTTTCTAGTTGAAGGCCTCCTTAGCAACGAGGAGCTCATTAGGAAACGCTTTGGGTTTCTCTGTGTCCTTTATTGGACTTTACATAGGCTCAACAAAAGGTGTACACAAGGATATGTAGGGCTCAAGTTTTGTGTTGAGGGCGAACAGAAACGCATTTAAGAACACCGCTTTGCCATCTCACATTTGGTTCACGTTTATGTAGCTTTGGATAACTCAGCTTCTTGCATTTTTTTTTGGACAAGGCGGGTGTTAAGTAGTGCCCAGCCGGCATTAGTGGCACGATTGGGGTTCAATGCCCGAGATGAAGGTGTTGTTACTGGTGGGGGGGGGCGTAGGATTTTCAGATTTTGTTTAGAGCGTGAAGGGTCTGAACTCCATCTGAATGCGAAATCTCGGACCCTGAACCCTGAGCAGAGTCGAATTAAAGGAAATTAAGGGTCTGATCCTGTCTGCTGTAGCTGTAAGTTAGCCAGCAGCCGTAAGAATTCTATGTGGTCAGTTGTTTTTTTTGGAATAAAGCCAACAACAGGGCAACATGTGGTGACTTCACCCGACCCCCCGAAAAGGTGGTTTGCATGGTGTAGCTCAGCCAGCAACAGCCCATTCTCTGCAGGAGAGTGAAGCGATCCAAACAGCGGCAATGTCCGAGGGACTGTCCCGAAGCTCCTTGCCTCCAGGGCCATGGCTAGACTAGGTAGGGAAAAAATTCGCTTCAGGTCCTGTAGTCTATCATAAGTAGGATTGTAGAAGGCAGTAAAGTGCTTCGCATCATGACTACGTAGCACTTAGAGTTTCAGCATGTTGAAATGCTGCTTGCCTAGGTTTAGGTTGACTGAGCTAGCCAGGCCTGACCGCGAATGACAAACAGTTCATGACGAAGCGCAGGGCATTGAAGCTCTTCAAAGAGATGGATGCCACTTTGATGAGAAGGTGGGGTTTGAGTTTGTGGTTCAGGGCCAGTTAAACAGCCAGTTCTCGCTGGAGAATAACTGCCGGGAGGGATAGAGGCCTGTCCTAGTAGGCCCCTGCTGCCATCCTTCAAACCTCTGGGAACCGAATACTGCCAATGCTATGCCATGCCATGATCAATGCTGTTTGTCTTTTGTGCCTTTCGCTTAGGAATAGGCGTGAGGCGCAAGCGTCAGGCGCCAGACTTCGGTGTTCATTAAAACTCTCCCACCTGAAATCGAACCCAAGCCCCAAACAAACCTGGAGAACACGTTGTAACCAGGTGGTAAGCTATAGTCCGTGATCATCCCTTTTCACTGCTCACTAGTGCTTCTTGCAAAAGCCGAAGCCGGGCTCAGTGTGCAATAAGGCCAACCGAGATGGATTGCTGGATGAACATGAGCTTTCCGAATTTGTTCGGGAGGTGGGGCTCGGGCTAGGGGCTCACAGTGGTTCGCTATTCACGGGTTCTGGATGTAGAGTTTTGGGAGGGGGCTTGAGGCAAAGCAATTGGGCCGGGGTTTTGTGCAAGTCCCTCCAGCTGGGCATTTGAAAGTGCTCCGCATGCGTGTGTGCATCGCATGCGCCAGCGTGGCACTGAGCACTGGGGCATTGGGGCATTGGGCAGGCAGAGAGAGAGAGAGAGAGAGAGAGAGAGAGAGAGAGACGAGGTTCGAGACCACTGGATTAAGGGTTCAGCGCTTCAACCCCAGCAGCTACCCCTTGAAGAAGTTACCATTGCAGCCACGTAGCGTTACTCCTGCATGCACAAACTTGTCTCAGCATGATTGACGACATATTCAAAGCCTTACTTTGAGCACGTGCCTTTGCGATGTTTCGTGACAACACCTGAGCATGCATCTAAGGTGTCGGAAGAGCACGAACAGCCCCACAAACGATCAGCCCAAAGAGCCAAAGTCAAATTAATGCATGCGACTGGCAAAGCAGCGCCAAAAATGAGCTGTGGAAAGACGACATCTAGCAGCACTTCACCTTGGAAAGGGCATGCAAGCTTGTTCAAAACCCGCAGAGGCAGCAGACATGGTCGACCTGAACTACACCGCTTTCTTGGAAGATCAGCTGCCTGGCGAGAGGAGAGCACAACACTTCTAGACTCGGGCATATGCAAAAAGCATGAGATGGGCGTTTCTTCACATTTAGGCTGCGGCGCTTGAAGTTCCATTTCTTCGAGCCCGAATCTTGATCTCTAAACCCCACAACCCCAAACTCTACCCAGCACCAAGGCTGAACCTGCCAGACGCCGCCAAAGCTGCGGCCGCTGGTAGGAAGGATCTGCGCCTGCAGCAGAGGATGTCGAGTTTCGGGAATATATCCGGAGGGGGTTCCGTAAATGGGGCTAGTAGGGCGCCCAAGCGTAGAATTTAACATGTTCATAGCCTGAAAATAGATATCTGCAACAAGGGCCCTCAATTTTTGGAAGCTCCCGTCTAGGGAGTCCTGGCCGCAAACGGGTTCAAGGTTTGTAGGGCTTAGGCCTTAGGTTTAATAAGGAAGTTTTGAAGTTGCCTGCAGGAGCAATGCAGGTGGTGAGCAATCATGTCGCCACGGACCACATGCATGCATCGCAGAACTTGTCGTCCCGCTCTCCCCGACAAAAGGATGAGAATCAAAGGTTGGTGAAAAGAAGACCTCAATTTTGTCCAAGCTGAGGTGCGTAAGCAAGAGGTCAAGGCAGTCAATTGGCCAGCAACTCGCTTTCAGTCAGACATGGGCAGCATGTCTTTCATGTTTAAGTCTCAGTCGCATTTGGAGATCAAGCATCCAAGCAGATACAAATAGCCGTAGTTGTGCACACAATAGCCGGGAGCTGTCTGAGCATAGGTAATGGGCGGTGTCCTCACAGACCGGCTTGAGGCACCCTACACCCTAAAGACCCCGAACCCCTACAGGCCTACAGTTGCCGTACTTGTCTAGTGGGTTGCCTTTCAGCTGTTTCCCATACAGCCCAACCGAAAGTCATTCTGCCCACTGCAAAGCCTTCGTCTAGGCTCGGATGCATCCATATACGTCTTCAGGGGTTTTGGGTGCCAAAGAAAAAAGCTCTGGCCGAAGATCACTAGGGTGTATCCAGGGTTGAGGTGAAATTCTTTACATAGGCCTTTAGCACCAAAACTCTTCGCAAGTGCCCAGCAGCTTAGTCCGCGAAACACCGCAAGCTCTAAGCCGTCAAGTCAAGCAACATGCGAGTTAGGCTTTCTTCAGCAGCTGCGTTTCAGAGCACCCAGAATGGCCTCTAGTCGAGGTTTAAGGTTCAGCTGTAGTCTCAGGGCATGTTGCCAAAGAATTAGAACAGGGTTTTGGGGTATACCATACTATAAGTACATAAGAATGCTAGAGGAAGAATCTGGGTAATTATTCGGTTTGCCTGTGCCTGCCACACTACGCACCTGGCTATTCCGGGCTGCCTTATCTGCCATGTCGGGGGGGGGGCAGATCTGGGGCTTGCATTTTGAATTCAGGCGTTCCATTCACAAGGCAATGATGGCATGAGGAGAAAATAGTCCTACTTTGAAATCAAGTACGGTTCTACTTGTGTACCCTGAAGCAAGATAAGAACCAGGACGATCCGTGCACCCTCATACACCCCATGTCTCATGTATATGTCCAATTGCCTTTCGAACAACCACACTACGTACACCTCCTAAGGCTTCAACCCAAAACCCCAAAACCTTATCAAACCTGCGAAGAGCCCCCAAAGCCCATGTGGAGCTCAACTCCAAAACCGGAGGCCCTCCAACACTTGACCCTTATCACGCAGCACGTAACCTGACAATGGCATTGTTCCATAAAAGCTACAGTTCTCAGCGAGGAATTATTCATTGTTAGAGGGGTGGAGGGTTGATGAAGTGTCAGGGACAAGGGTTCTGCCCGAGCTCCAGACACGAAACTTCGGCTCCTCCCCAACCCGCTAGAGGTCATGGAATAGGATTATGATACACCGTACATAACATGTGTTCATGACATGTTTGCCTTACAACGGTAACTCAAGTTAAGTAACTTTCTCAACAGCAACCCAGTAGAGCCCTTCAACTTGAAGACCCTGAACCCCAATCCCTTATCCCTAAACCTGAAGCCTAACCCCTAACCCCTAACCCCTGAAGCCTAAGCTTAGGTTTGCACGCCATTCCAGCCAGGCCTGGCTAAGGTACTCTGGCAGCGCGAAGGAGGTAAGGGCTAAAGTTTGCGGCTTAGGATTGTCAGTTTCATGTTCAGAGTTTAGGGTTGTGATGTTACAATACCTACACCAGGAGAGAAGCAGAATGAGACTATTCATATAGAAATCAACAAATCAAGATTCAACACCTCAACCAAGAATTGGTGAAACGAAAGTCAGAAGAAGCTCCATGACCTTGAGTCCAAATAAAACCCAATTTAGCGCTCAAGAATCATTCGCAGCATGTTAAAAAGGATGTCTGATGCTGAGTGTTCAGAATTTGTCTTGGTTTTTTGGGGTCTTATTCAAATCTCCCACTCTTCTGAGTTGTTCTTGAGATTGTGCCATTGATTTTTCCTGATGTGTGCTCTACAAAAGTTTTCTGCTACTTCAAACAAAGCCATTGGCTTCATGGTTTCATTCGGGCTCTACCCGCTTCATGAAAACTTGCATACGTACCCAGAACGAACTGTGACCGCACAGCTGCAAGCAGCTGCCAGGGAGCAGCGGTGCCAACAAGTTTGTGGTAGCCCTAGCAAAGCTGCATCTAGAAGAGCGCGCAGGTTCGGACGGTGAACTGCAAGCTTAAGTTCTGGTACGTGTGACTTGTGGTCCGCTGTTACGAGTGCGTGGTCCGATGCTATTCGGCCCAAAGTTAAATCCCGCGCTGAACTGCTCACTTTTGCTGTGCAGTCAAGGTCATGCAGCATGAGGCTCTCCCAGGAACTGCGCTTGAATCATGACTTCCTTCTGGGGGCCCTACGTACAGATACACTGAGTATTGCAGCATCTGGAATTCTGGGCCAGGGAACCCAAGTTTCACAGCGCTTGGAGGGGTTGAGTGATTATTGCGACTAAGCCCTAATCCCTACTCCTACTCAAACAGAACCATTAAGAAGTAAAGTTTAGAACTTCAATCCCTTAGCTCTCAGCATTTAAGTTGCGTGTGGTTTAGGGGCTTGGGGTTGAGGAGGGCGTCAGATTCTGAGACCGCACGAGCTGAAAGCATGAACCCCGAAACGCTAACTTGTAGACTGCAAATTCTGAAGCCCTTTGCGGCGACAGCTAGTGTAGAATATTTGGGGCTCCCTTTGGGGGAATGATGTAAGTACGTCCCTGCAGCACTTGTCCCCAGCGCTTTGGCAAGGTATTCGGACCACCGTTTTCTCCGTGGCATTTTGGACAAAGTTGCCGCAGCGCCTGGCCCAGAGAAGATAAGGGTAAACAGGCTTCCCACGAACCAGGTAGTCCCAATGTTCTGGCCAGTTTAGCTTGCTCGTCCTCCTCAGGCATTTTGACGGGGCTTGACCTGAACTGGAAAGTCTTGGCCCACACTGCTGGCACGCTCACCAGAATCTATTCCCTTGCAAAGGCACTTGGTCTTTTGTAGAACGCAACTATAAAGACCTAAACCCCCAACACCAGCCAATCGGTAGTTCTCGATGTTCCCGAGCCAGACAACTGGCATAAGCATATGAGTTCCGCTAGACAGGCACTCGAAGCTTCAAGGTATGCTGGGGAGTGTGGCAATTCAGCGTTCCAGGCCCTGCCTCTTTGGAATATTATGAAATTCTGCAGCGATTATAGGCTAGCTTTATTGCAGGCATTTGGTTCACTCAAGTGTCAGCGTGCGCCACTGTCTTTAAGTCGTGAGGATGAATCTCGGACTTACGTGTTAACTGGGCCATAGCCCGACCATAACCTCGGTTTCGTATACCTGGGTGATTCATGGCGGGGATGGAAAGAGCTGCAAACTAGGCAGGTAAAACGGCGCGCTGGTTTGTCGTTGTCTTTAGCCGGCTCTTGTCAAAGTTGGTTGGCAACCAAGTTGGGAACCGTCGGAACCAAGCTTCAAATCAACAGTACTTGTAAAAGGCAGAAATAGCAAAAAGCATCCCAGTCCTATGTGCCAGCTCCTTTGCATTTAACATAAGCCCAAACGAACCTGAGGGCTCTCAGTACAGAAAGGTCACAAAAATTGGAACATGGGTTTAGGGTTTGGGGATCATTTATGCTGCCCTCCCCTCTTTCTGGTCTTATGTTGAGGGGAGTGCTGATGTTCCAACTTTCTGCGAATTGGACCTACTTCCTGCCATCACAGTCCCACATTCCCAATTAAGCACGAGCAAGGGTTCTGTGAAAGCCTGCAAGATGGCAAAGTGTTCTTGTCTTATAAGCCTCGTCCAACTACATAACCTGCCCCCACCCCCTATGCGAATTTGTTGGCTCCACATTGCATCCCCATACACCCCTGTAAGCCCCTATGTGCCCCTACGTAAACCCTGTCTGCGTTTCGTGTTGATATCCCTATGCTACATTGCTACATAATACTTATAATTCCCCCTATAGAAAACCACTAACCTCTACATATCCATATATAATCCATGTCTAGCCCCCTGTAGGTCCCAATATTTCCTTACAGTAAGGTCACAGGGTTGGAGCCGGCCTGGGTCCGCAGCATTGCAGAAGACATGCAGGTGCTCAACTACGCTCCAGGCAGCTTGCGGGTGGGTAAAATCTTGTTGAGTGCTAACATGGAATGAAAAAAATTGGAAGGCGAATGGAAACTGAATTTCATGGAAACCGGACGGTTAGTTTGGATATATGGGCTTCAGGGTTTACGGTAGTAGGGAATGTGGGAATGGAAGCGATCCATCTTGCTAGCAACAGGGAAAGACAAAGAGGGGTTTGGGTTTGGTTTTTTTGGCCAGGGTTTCTTTGGCGGCCGTTGGGTTCGAAGGGGTATTTTTTGTAGTCATGCTGCCAGGGCCTTTGCGTTCTCTTGCTGTTTGGTAGGGCACGTACTGCAGCAGCATGATAGAAGTCTATGCCAAAGAACATCCTGAATGGTCCATCCTTGTGTGGCTGTACCTAGACATCCCGTCAGACCCCTTTTTTTATGCATCCGACCTACATGAGGGTTTAGGGTCTGCGCACGATGTCAGATTTGGGGCCAAGGGATATGGGGTGTGGCTTGGAGGAGGAAGAAGGCCGGCAGAGGTGGGTCTGAAATTTCCCTGCTGTTTGTTATAGTCCCCCTTAAGTAAAGATTGAATGTGGAACTGCCAAGTAAGTAAGAACCCCATATACCCCATATTCTATCTACTTAAGGGTGACTGTATCTACTCGCCTGCAGATTTTGCAAAGAAAGGTCGTGAGGTGTGGGAATGTCCAGCAGGGGTTTTGATTCATGGCCGGTTGGCCTTTAACTAACAAACTGCATCCCAGCCTATTTTGGTTGCAGCCCCGGCCCACAAACAAAATGCATTTTGGATTCTCCCATGACTGTATTCAGAGCTGTGTTATTCGCAGCACTTTTGAGCGGAAGCTTGCGGGGGCTGGTCGAAGAAAACCATATCGTTGGCGTAAGTGGCAGCTTTAGAAGGGTAACCGCATGCAAGGTAAGAGAGGACCAAGCATCCGGAGTTGTAGGGTTGGAGGTTGGCGGAGTTGAGGCTGGAATTTATTCACGGCGGCGCTCAAGCTTTGTTTCCGGCTTTCGAAGGTTCAGGGTAGGGCTCCTATGATCTACAAGGCACCAAGTATGGCACCCCAGACTCTATAAAGGTGATTCCGCTCCTTTCAAAGTGCTAATCCAAAAAAAGGCCCGCCAGAGCTTTGCAAGGATTTTGCCAGAAGCTTTGCGGAGACACTGAAGTAGCTCTCATGACGCAGAAACTTCCATGTGAACCCTATAAACCTTCAATGTCAAAGCCTCATTCAGGAAAGTGGTAGCCATTCACACGCCTTGAATGACATGTGAGGTGGGGGGCACTACTCGTGCCACCACGACACGGCGGGCTTGACGGGGGTGTTGTGGGGCAGCCGCCACAAATTGGGGTCTGGAGAATCTGAGTTCGGGGAATTTAGGTCAAACTTAAAGATCCGGGGCTTGGGGTTTAGAATCTGCACCTGTACGCGCAGCGACGAGGGTTGATGATTTCAACTTTCAGGAGTTCCTGCAAGTCTAATTGCGTGCACATGAATCAAGTGGAGGGCATGTTGAAAAATGGAGATGGGCCCCGAGAGCACATGGTGATTCCAAATCACGCGGTCTTATCCTGGCCGCTGCCTAGATTGAAGGGGATGGCCTGCTAGCAGTTTGAGGTGTGAAGCTTTAGTGTTAATAGTGATCCCGCTTGGCCAATCCTACTCCCGAAATAGCGCAAGTCTTGTAGAACTTCCCAAGCTTCAGCAGATTCCATTACTCTTTCGACCCTTAGCAACCCTGGCTGGGATGAATTGTCCAACATTGAGACGGTGCCTTGTGTTGATGCAGCAACTGCCAGCATGCAGTGAGAATTCAGAATTCAGCAACCCCATCATTGACGACTGAGAATAGTAGAGGTTCCAACCTAGAATTCATGGCCTCAGTTACATTCTGTTCCTTGCTCATGTGGGAAGCTTGAGTTGAAATGGCTGAGATCTAAAGCCACGGCAGAGCAAAGCAATTTCAGGAGCCATGTCGGCTCTATTGGCCAGGAGCGCTGTTCTTGCATGTAGGGGTGCATGCGGGTTTGGCTCTGAACTCCTGTAGGCAATCATGAAGTCATGGATAGGCTGACCGGGACCTGAGAACAGTAACCGTGTTTGCAGCGCAACGCGCGTGATGAAAAGCTGGCTGTTGCAGGGCATCGAAGCTCTGGATGCAGCTCGTTTCATGACGGTTTTCTTCTTCCTGAGGCTTGGCAGTTGTCCTACGTTGACCGCATGCCGATTTGAGAGTGGGTAAAATCCAAGAAGGCGCCTTTTCACAGTGCCACCTCTGAGGGTTGTCGGATAAACCTGCATGCGCTGAACTTTGTTCCAGAATCTGGAGCCTGCCGAGGGGCACGATGTGACTTGGGACGCCTGTGTGCACCAAGGAATGACGTGCCAGATGGCGGCGAAACTGTTATGTTTGGCACCGACCTCAATGCCAGCCGCTCGAAAGAGTACTTCCTAGCAGATGAATCTCCACAGCACTGGTATGGCGTGTCAAGCTAGGGGTTCGGGGTTTACATAGGATTGTCTCAAACAAGATCGACAGGTTTCCTCTAGAGGGAGAGCGTTGCTTGGCAGCTGTTCGGTTCTCTTGTAGGCTGAAACATGATGAAGTTACATTATATATACACTTATGCTAAGCGACCAAAGCTGAATATCTAGAGGCTTTTCGTATACCTTCCGACGATGGCAGAGAAGTTGAGCAAGTCAAGCGGCAACCCGCTTCGGAAGCTTCATGCATGCTGAGATTCCCTGTTCACTTTCTTTATGAAAGCAGTCTCGATTATCATTCTCATTTCCTGTGATCACTGCCATGTTTTGTCATGTTTGTCCTTGTCGCTCTTTGGCTTCCGGGGACCTGGCGGTCCTCGCAAGCAAAGGGGCGCTGGTGTTACAGCAAGGATCTAAGAGCCGAGGCTTCAGGGCTGAACGCTTCGGACGCGATTATTTCCAAGAATAGAGGTGCCCCTCATATCCCGTAGTTTGTCATCAGAAGCCACTCACGTCTGGAAGGGCTCGACCACTCGAGGGGCCCCTTGTCTCCCCCTAAAACATCATTCATTACCACCAATCTCCGGAGACAGTCTGATCCCCAAAGCCTATCCCTTCAACGTGATCCCAAGAAATTCCAAGCACTATGGGTAAAGACGTTCTACAGTCCCTATGTAGGTTGAGAAGCACATCGTTCATCACTTCATTCTGAGGAGGATGTCTGGGGCGAGGTTGAGGCTCAGTGCCAATCAGTTCGCAGCTGCCCACAGCCACTGGAGCCTGCAAGATGGGATGCTTCTCAAGATGGTGGAGTCCTGTGGAATCCACGGATATATACAAGGGCGGTACCAGTAGATTGGTGGGGTATCATTAAGGATTCTTCTGAGAAGCTCCAACTGGATTTGAGGTTGGACGGTTTTATCGCTTTGGTGACAATGTTAGCTTCCTTTGCTACGTTGGTGAGGGTCTTTGTTGGCAACTCCACTTGTCTACAGTTTACGCGGCCATCTATCAGCGCTGAACTCCGCAGCCAAAAACCCTGAGCCTTCAAGCTCCCTGCCCTAAACCCGAAACCTGGAAATAACCACCCAACTCCTCAAGCTGAGGCAGCCTGGCGCAAAACCTCCGCCTCCATTCTCTACAGCTCTCGTGCTTGTGTCAAAGAAGGTGATGGGTGTTTGAAGGGGCTTGTTGTTTAGAAATTAGACTGTAGGGTTGGAATATCCCTTTGGCAGCGATGGTTTCGGGTTTTGGGGCTTAGGGGTTGCTATACGTATTATGACGTGAATTTATGGTATTGGGAACAGGCTTCCTTTTCCTGATTTCTAAGTTGCGCATGCTGAGCTTTGGGGGGATGCGGGTTGTGATTTGCGCTGTTAGGACAGAGCATTTGCTAAAGGATGTCGTTTTTGCAGTTTTTGCCCCGCACAGCTTGAGCTTAGAGCTCATGATGTACAATCCAGCTCAGGGTTTAGCATGTTTTAGAGGATGAGCTTTGGATTTGCGGAAGGCACGGCAGCAGAATCCATGTTTACACAACTACAGATGCTCGCCAGGCTCTTTGCATTTTCAGAGCTTGTGCAGTTCGACGCAAAACGGTAAAAATGAGCATAGGAAGTCAAACCCAGGGTACTGAATTTTTAGGCCAGCACATCGCTGATGCGATATTTGGCAGGGCCTCACTGCAGCTTCTGCTTCTAGAGCTAACGTGAGCTCTGGTAAGTTTGATGTTAGCGGTACTTCTTCTCCCGAACGCAAGATGTCGGGATCTGTTTTGCACCATGTTCACATGGGAGTTTCTTGAAGTGTTCCCTGTAATCATAGTCCTTTTGCCAGGGCGCCTAGCATCTCTCCAAGATTTCATCAGTAAATGCTTTTACTTGAGGTTTATGGGATATTTGAAATCAGGTGACTCCTAAAAGGCCGCTTAGGGGGACTGCAAGTTGGGCTACAAGCCCAGTTATAAGCAATTTCTAAGTCCCGTGAACCTCTAAGTAGGGGTACTCATGTTTTCAAACAACACCCACAACAGCCAATCACTGCATAGCACCAACACAGGTTAACTTCCATGCTACTCCTCAACGAACTCAGCCATCTTGCTGACAGGGGTTGACATACAGAAGTGTGACAGCCCCCTTAACTTGACGATTCATGGTGTAGAAGGAGTTGAGGGTGTAGTGGCCTCGAATTGTTCGTTCGCAGGGAACTTTGTGAAAAGAGCTGGTAATATTTGTATGATACTCTGGAGATATTCATTGTCCCATACATCCCAGGTAGTCCCAGCATACTTGCAATTGAGGTGCTGCGGCCACGGAGAGGGAGTGCTATTTTCTGGTACAACATGGAGGTGGACGCCGAAGGAGGGGTCCGCTCTGTCTTTATGGAGGGGTTGGTCTGAGTTGGCCCATCAGTCGTGGCACCGTCAATCATTTTTTCGAGGAATGTAAGCGTGAATTTCAAAGAAGCTTCCCTGGCCCCTACAGGCATACTTTTGTTGCCCACGCGGTAATGTAGAGGACTGAGTCATCTAACTATAACGCTGCTAGAAATGTGGCATAGCGTAGACCAAGAACTAAATGTGGAAGGGATGGTTTTGGAATTCGACATTACACTCTCAGATTGCAGGTACAAGTCCCGTGGTATCCTGCAAATCAAAAATACATCTTTAACCGGACATTCTCGAAGGGCTTCACGGGTTTGAGGAGAAATGGTAATGGTCTCTCAAAATCATTGGTCCTAACTTTGGAGGGATCCCCATGGTCAGGATAATCTTATGCTGGGCACCGGGGTTCTTGAATTCCATAAGCATCATCATAGAGGCCTGACCTTGTCCACATGAGCCACTGTCAGTCGTAGCCGTACTAAGGAACCTTGAAAAGCGGACATATGGGTCCCTTGCAGTTTAGCATAGTCCCTATTAATTTTCCGGGAATATACTGACTGTAGCTCACATGTTGAGAAGATGGATCATACATAGTTGTTTCAAAACATGGGTGCTTCATACCCTTAAAGACCACCCGAGCAGAGCAAGACTGTAGAAGCCGAATGTTGACACGGTGATACATGTTGGAACGCCTTGAAACCCAGAACACTTCACCCAAGCATTCACTTAACCTATCTCCAGGCCCTGACACAAACCCTACGTGTTGAACTACTCCATGGGTCCTATCAGGAGGATTACAGCGCTTCTTCTGGCAAAGCATCCACGGCGGGTGTCCGACCCGGCGCACTGAAAAGTGGGCAGCAAACATTTGGCTGCCTGTCTGAAATCTATTTACGGCTTGTATGGTAATATAAGCAAGAATACATGTGCGCGTCTGCACGTTTGCGCGGCGAGGATATGTACAAACACTAATGATGCAGGGAAGGTACTAGTAGGATAGCTTGTTGGGGCATCTTGAGCTTCAGAAGGAGGTTTGGCTGGAGCTGATCTTTGTTCCCAGGCCATCTTCCAACGGAAGTATGCTGTTGCGAGATTGTTTGTTTTGCTTCCTGATAGAAGGCAAGGAAAGGAGACGCGCTTGTATCAGCCCTAATGATAAACCGACACCGTCCTTTAACCTTCCTTGATCTCCCTGCACTTAAGTTTCGCGTCCTTTCCTGGTATCTAGAATAGGGGTTGGCAATATGATTGTTGGTTAGACACTTCCTAACCTCATGGGCTCATGACTAGCCTGGAATCAACTGCGTAGCTGATGTAGCAGCGGGCTCATGCAATAGCAAGAGTAGAAACAGGACACTGTTGGGGCATATTCCCTCCAATTATGTCATACAATGTACACAGGGACGTGATTCCTAGCTTCTTGGGCTTGTACATTTCCTAAACCCGACCCCATGAAGCTGCGGGAACTAAATCTTTCCCGTTGAAGATGGGGACTGTGGATTCCTAAAGCAGCATGACTGTGGTTGAGGGATCCAAAGATGGCACTCGGGTAGTTTTTTTATCTGTATTTACTTACTGGTGGGGCAGGGAACAGAGGCACACATTGGTGAACAATTCCCCAAATCATCCCCAAGCATCCTCCCTGAATTCTGTACATTCCAGAATAGCCCCTGCATAAGCCCCAATCATCATCCTTCAGTTCGATTCCTTTGTTCCCTTTAAAGCCACATTGATAGCCCGCAACCTTCATACGAGAATCAAAAGGAAAAGACAATGGAGAAAGAGGAAAATTTAGATGCAGTGATTTATGGGGTTTGAATTAGGGGTCCCTGTCGTTGGGAAATCCCATAACAGTTGTAGCATGTGGGGGTTCAATTTGGGGGTCCTCTATCTATGGAAATTACAAGGGCGGTTTCTCAGATTTGTGGGACGTTTTGGAGAGCTGGCAGGAGGGACTATAGCATTTTGGAGGCATGCACTGGGACCTTGAATAGCTTTCAGGAATACCCAGAACGGAGCTTTTTCCAAGAGATGTCAAAATGTTTGACCAATTGTTGCAGGCTCCTTGGTCAGGAAGGCCCCTTCCTTCTGCGCACATTGACCAGGAACAGGTCCTACTGGACCTGGGATTTTATCATGAAATTATGTAGTGCTCTGAACTTTTACATTCAACCTTGAACCTAAGTCCTAGCTTTTCTCAGGCTTCGAGTTCGGTCCATGCGGGACGAGCTGTGAGTTTCGCCGTGCAGGGCTCTAACTTGCGGGATTCAAGGATTAGTTTTCCTCTTGCTTAAACTAACATTGAGCCCATACAGAAGCCTTTGTCAACCAGTAGCAGGAGGGGTTCCCCGGATGTTTATGGTGTTGGATAATTAGGCGTCCAAGGTTTCCAGGCTAGCAAGTTGGCGTAATGGCTTGAAAGGCTTTAGGTCTATGGAGCTTTGCAGCAGAGTATTATGTATGACAAGATCTTCAACAGTCACAGGATGGTACATGTAGGTTTCATCTGCTTGTGGCAAAAGAACATTCCTTCACTGGAAAATAGCTAAAACCTAAATCCTAGGCTAGGCGGACTTAGGCTCATCATCCTCTTCAAGTTTGTGCCCCGCATGCCGAATCCACAAGTGCCGCAAGGTTTGGATTCATTTGCACAGCTGATGGGAGGATGAAAAAGCTGCGTGCAAATGGGGATGGCTGCAAAATTGCCATTCTTCTAGTAGGCCCGGTTAGAATCCCCCACAAGAGTCTTTGCCCTGCATCTGCCCATTCTAGATTGAGATCCAATGAAATGAGGTGGGACCATGTCTAAGGTCTAAGGTTAAGGTGTCTCCAGTCTCAGGTACTCGTATTGCAGGAGCAGGTGCAGACAGCAGCTGGCCCCCGCAAGATATTGTCAGAAAATGCTGCCAGGGTACTGAATGTGCAGCAGTCTTCACATCAACAAAAAGTAGTTGTAGGCGTGCGCCATGGCATCTGACGGAACGACGGAAGCATGGGTCGAAATAAAAGTCCCAAGGGGGGAGGACGCAACATATACGGAAACACTCCGAGTTCTGGGTGTCGCGTGGGCTTCTGGGCTTGTTAGCATGCTGCTGATCGCTGCAATAGGCCAAGCACTCATTTATGCAATCTACCAACATGAAGAGTTTGGGACTCTTCTGCTGTTTGTGGTGGTGCCCGGGAGTCTCGCCTACGCGTTCCTGATATGTTTCTCGGAGCTCATGACTGGCAGGCTTCATGGGCGAGCAAAGGTTTGGGGTGCGCATACATGTGCCTCCTTCGGGAGCTTCTGTGTGTTCCTTGCGATTTACTACATGACTTCCGAGAGAAGCTTTGTGGCGCGGCACGACTTTGTACATTATTTGAGGGCGTTCATGGTCACGGGCATCCCGTACTCCTTGGGCGTTCTGCTCTTCTACGCCTTCCAGAAGTGCTTGCCGTCTAGGTTTCAGCTCAGGCAGCGGAAGTTCGCTAGCGACCGTGTTTGGCTGTGTTTACTTCTCGTCCTTTTCCTCTTTCCGCTGTTCCTGGGCTTGCTGCCCGCTGTGTTTGCAGTCGGCCAGGGCCGCTCGCAGTGGTTGCTGGAAGAAACGGCTGTGGATTTGAGCCTTAGGCTCTCACCAAACCTCACTGTCAGCGACTTTTTTGTTAATGCCACTGGAGACTGGCACCTAGTGGATGGCAAGGACGGCACGCTCTACACTGCTTTTCGCTTGATACCAGTCCCGCGTGAACACCCAGAATGCCAGAAGCACATTGAGAATTCCATCGTCCATCCTCTTGGCGGTGATGTGCGTTTTTGCTTTGCTGCAATCGTGACGCGTGGGCGGAGTGACCTCCAGTTTCCAGAGGGCGTAAGCGCCTAGGTGCCAAGAGACGATGCCGAATGTTGCTTTCATTGTGATCCGTGCGCCTTCTAGGAATAGCTTCAATTTAGGGCCAGTTTAGGGATGTATGTATCTATCATAGGTTTCGTTCAATCGTTCAATTCCAGTGCTCACGTACATAAATCTAAGGCGGCAAAAACTCAGACCTGGAGGGAACGTTCGTCATAGTGGTGAGCACTGTCCGAGAGGATTGGCTGAGAGGATCCAAGAATCTGAATGCCAGGGCTCAGCAGTTTGCCCACACCCTTCGCTTTTTCCCCATGTTGTACAACAACACTCTTTACAATTGGACAGAAGACTTCTCACAGAGAATGGTCGAGCCAGCTGACTTTGCTGAGAAAGCTGACAAACTCCAGTTTCACGCAACGCGTGGCATCGGCGACATATTTGATTTTCTTTACTTGGAGGATTTCCCACTGCTCATTGCAGACCTGCTTCACGGCTCACTTCACAGCTGCTATTGTTTCGGATTCTTTGGCTTGGACCAGCATGGCCAGATGGCAATGATTCGGTACAATCGATGGTCCTGGGATGTGCTCTCCTCCTGGACCGGACGGAAACTTGGGTGATTTTGAGAAGTATTGCATAGCCCCAATTCTGTTCAAGTTTGTATGGTCCATTACAGAAGGACTAGGCATGTTGATAGTCTTGCAGCTGAGCTGTTTTGTTTTTGAAGATGTTGATCATCAGAGGAAATACGTCGTCGAACCTGACCAGCTACGCATTGATAAGGAATTGCTACGTGCAAATGCGCTAGCAGTGCTACCAATACGGGCCACATGAGCTTCAAAAGCTGTCTGGGTATGAACCGGGATGTGGCTTAGAGTGTTAGATTTCAATGGTGTTATGCAACCTTTGACTCACAAAGGCAGCTGCTGAAAGTAAGCCACCGTAGCATGGCCTGGAACCTAGGCGTGCAAAACCTGACGTGCCTCATATGGTAAATTGTCCAATGCATTGTGTCTTATGGAGTACCCTACTTAGAGGCCCGTGCATAGCAGAACCTAAAACAGCCATGGTCTTGACAACCCACCATCTCCTCAGGTGCCCTCAAGCTCTGATTGTCTAAGTCTACAGCAAGCGGCCCGCAAGTGAACAGCTTATCAGTCCTGGCAGGACTTGTGGGATTGAATCGGGGGGGCAACATAGGATCTGTGAGATAGAAGTAAAGAATCAGATAGAGCTGTTGGATACAGATCCATAAACTGATTACTACATCTTTATAAGATCCAATCCTGCATCCACCCTATTGCGCCCAGCCCCCAAGCAAGGTTCAAATAAAAGTTTCTCAAGAAGAGTGGCCCGCGACACATACAGAGAGGGGGATTTTGGGGGTCCCTAGTCAGGATCATATAGGGGATGTTTTGAGAAATTCCCAAATGAGGGCGATTTAGGATTGAGTTGAGATTGACTAGGGTTTGTTTAGGTCGGCGACTGCTTCGGCCAGCGAGAAAGATTTTAGCAGATTTACAGGCTGCCAAAAGATGTTAAGTTGGGCTTAGTGTATGCCCAAGCAGGGAGAGTCCCGATCATAGATCTCGATCTTGCGTACTATAATCTCAAAAAACGCTTTTCTACACATCCCCCCAATGACATACACACACCCCAACACTAGACCGGAACCAGTTGTCCAAGGCGTTTCTGTCGAGGCTTCAGAAACTAGAGTTGCGAGATAGGCTTGGCAGAGGCATCCTTCCTTCTTGCAACTCCTATGCTCTGCACTATTGGTTGTTGGCCTAGAGGACTGCAAGGCTTCGTTGGGGATGAATGGACCATCTCCCTCTCCCTTTCTTTCTCTTTTTCTACGTCAGCCTGTCTGTCAGTGTGTTTCTCCTGCCTTAAAGTTCTGACTGGAAATCAATTCTCCAATGACCTCTAAATCTGAACTTGCCGCCAGATATGGAGAGACTTGAAGCTGGGCTCAAGGATTTGTAGAAAAAGCCCCGGCAGCCTAAAAATGAACCCTCGAAACTTCCTTGTTGTAGTTGACTAGGATCATTCAGATCGCCATCGTTCTCGCAAGTGGGTCTCACTTTAGCACTACAACGCCGTGCCTGAAAGATCCAATCTTGGGGGTTAGCCATGCACCGAGCCCAATACAGAGAACCTAGACCAGCTCACTGCAAAAGCATCCATCTACCCCCTAGGCCTTCAGCCTTACCCCAACAACTCCAGTGCAGGGGCTTTAGGGTCCGAACCTTTAATTTTCCCGGGAATCCATTATCCGGCATGCATTTTTCGTTGGAAGCTGGCGGTTGAGCAGCTTGGCAACATTGGATTTTCTGAAACAGCAGTTGTAGTTTTGCTTCTCGTTGGTAGGTAATGACGGCGTCCCCATGAGAATCGCAAAATAACCCTGACTTATCCGCTAACAAGGAGCCAGCCCCAAATATGAAGCAACACGTGCTAAATCGCAGAATTTCGGAACGGAGGCTTCAAGAACCCCGGCGTTTTCAAACTGTTGTGATTCTGTTTGGATTCCCCCCGAACTAGCAGAGTGGGTGTTGATAGGGCCTTTATAAGGGGCCTTTGGGGAGTCTAGGTGCTTTACTGGGGATTGGAATGATCAGAGGGTTTGGTGTATATTTTTTGCAAGACATCGATGTGAGGCCTCATTTCCATGTGGGGGGTATATGCTCACACAACAGTTTAAGCCTCTAATTCCCTGCCTGGGAAGAAATAATTTTGAAAAATCAGAGTTGCCCGGGCTCTTCAACAGATCAACAGCTTGAATGCAGGCTTACGTACCCTGCTCAGTGCATACTTGAGCCGTTCAGCAAGCATCGGCATGACAGATACAGTCGTGGTGCACACCAAACTGCGGGTCCCTTCAGAGTTCAGTATGTGACTCGAGCTGTAAAAGCCATCTGCATGTAGAGGCAAATGTAGAGAAAAAGGGTGCGCAAAGGTGGCCGAAAGCCAGCCAAGAAGTGCCTAAGACGTCATCTTTTTTGCTAGGAGGTCAAAGACCCTGCAAGCCTGTTTGAAGAAGCAGCTAACTCTAAGGTCAGGGCGCTGAGGTATGGCACAAGCCATGAAATGTCGAAATGGCCATGCGCTGCACCTCACACACATGCCCTGCGCGAGGAAGCATCGATGTACGGAAGCTTGGCCAGTATAGACTTCCAAGCATCTCGGGGCTTTGTGTAGGGCCGCGGATGAGGACGCATGCAGCATAAAGGGAGGGGTATACAGGGGACTATATGCTACGGTAACGGGTGCTGTCTCAGCTGTCTGCAGAGGGAATGATCAGCGACAGCAGCAGCATTGAGTCCGATAGCCCATGTCCTAATCGAGTCCGGCAGCCCATGTCCTTCCAAAATCGTAAACCATATACAACTTGTACCTCAAACAAAATCTCGTTTAGACTTAGCCAAGAGAACCCATCGAGAAGTGTAGACTACCAGCTCGCTGGCTCCTCAGTACAGTTTGCTGTGAAACTTGCGATATATTTTCCAGGAGGGCTATCCAGGAATTTGGGGATAATGCCAGGACAACACAGGATCCTGGGGCATGTCTGCACACAGGCTGATGAGTACCTTATAGGAACCATCCCAAGAATACCTAGCTGTGGAGTTTACATGGGGACTGAGCGACAACGTAGCAGCGATGGTACAGTGATCCTTGAAAGTGCACTCCGTCGAACAATTCACTTCATAGGGTCCAGATTGATCTACCCGCTGTTTTGTAGCCAGCCTATGCTTGCTTTTGGTCAAGATGCTGTAATACACCCTCACGGTTTCCCTCGAAGCGTCTGTGGGCGCAGATACTGCGTAATGCCAGGTCAGGTGGGGATTGCGTGCTGGAGCAAATTTATCACGCTACACCTTACGTTGAACGTTCCCTGTTACGTACAGTCGGCCGCGCTTGCTGGCGGAGATGTTTAACTTCAGGTGCTGGGCAGAGGGCGGTTTACCATTGAAGGGAAAGGCTTTAAAGCCATTCGAGCGTCAAACCCAAAAGCCAAAAAGGTATCAGTCACTACCTACCAAGGGGACACCCCAAGTGATAATCAGGTAGTCTCCGTTTGAGGTTGCGGCATGTCGAACTCCTATAGTCTCTTCTAGTTACTATTGTATATTCACATGCGTTTTTCTTCATGCCTGCCTAAGCCCCTCACGCCTAAAGCTCCACTATGATCGTACGTTCCATATCATTTTCCGTCTGATTCCGCATTGAAAACCCCAAACCCTACATTATATGTTAGTTTCCAGTCTCTTTTCCATTCTTGCTATATGCACCTACTTACTAAGTCTACCCTAAAGCTGCATAGCCGACAACGCCGAGCCTCAGGTCTGTCACGAGGTGATTCCTCGGTCGGCGAGACGGACGCTGTGTCGCATCAGGTATAAGGCAAAAGGTGTGAATTAGGTTTAGGAGCTGAGCCTTGAGGGCTTAGGGCTGCGGGTTTAGGAGTTGAGAATTTGGGGCACATTCAGCTGTAAAGGTGTGGCATGTGTTGACTCTACGCACTGCAGGACGACGGCAGGTATCGAGTTCTACTTTACAAGTTCTCAGCTACGTTTCCTATGACAAGTATGGGGTTGCAAACGGTGCGGCAGAATTGGGATGTTTCATGCCTTTTGTTCCTAAGGCTTTGGAGTGAGTTAGTTCAGAACAGATTTGTTGGTTTGCGCACTCCTACCTTGATCTTATAGGGTACACGAATGGATTATTGTAGTCGCTATAGAAAAGCTATGGAAGGGATCCCTTCCTACATATCCTGCTAGGCAAGTAAGATAAGTGTCCCTGCGTGTGGAGTAGGAGGGTGCTTCTGGTTGATGGCCTAGACCCGAGCCGTAAACCAACCACTCGGACCCATGAGCTTTTCAATCTACCATCCTGCAAGCGCGACTCCCACCCTCAAGCCAGCATGGAACCAGGGGCCTAGATGTTGCTACATGTTAGGGATTTAGGGGTATCAGGACATGCAAAAAAGGGGTATCAGGATTCAAGGGTCTCGTGGAACCTGAGGCTTTCCGGTTATTGCTTTGGGTGTGTGATTCACAGGCATGATCTCAGATTGCGAAGAAGGCGAGATTTGAGTTGCCTCCAAAATATAATCCCCTCTTCACACCAATCCAAATATGTTATCACGGTATGTGTGGAACGAGTAGTTTTGAGTACTGGGCCTGTGGGTTTTTAGGGGAATGGAGCTCGTGGTTCATTAGGGGGCAAGTTGAGGCTTCGGACCAGATGGGTGTCAGGGGACCTGAGACAAAATTGACAGATGGGTTCTTGCTTCTCTGATTAAACATGTGTGGCGTGTCCAAATGATGGGATCAGGTGCAAACACCACCGACTCATTGGAATCCACAAATTGTTCAGCTAGCACAGGTACATGTGCAGACGATGCAGCTTCGACGTTTGCTTCGACTGCGGCGTGCATCTCTTCTGCTTTTGTGTACAGTGGTGTAGCACAGACACTTCAATGAGGAGGCACGTGCTTCTTTTGTCTTCTGCTCGTGTGAGACTTTTCCCTCGCAACTGGGTTCAGGATCATGGGTCCGGGGGTATGCTTGTGCTTATCCTTGGTACTTGGGTTGCGTTCGATCGCCATGATTTCAGATTCTTTGGGTTTCTGCAGTTTTCGGGTCATGTCTTGCTTTCAACCACAAGACTTTAGCACGGTTTTGAGGGTAGGTGGTGGCCCGTGAACCCCTTGCGGATGAGAGGCCTCCCCATGACGTCTCCCGCTGAGGCATGACAACTGTGTCATCGAGAGATCGCAGCATTCGTAGCTCAGCAGCACACATAGGCTTAGAGGGTAAGCAATTTGAAGTATCCCCCTTACTGGCCTTATGCATCCACCGAACAAACCTCCTGGTAGAATGCTGGGGAACCTAGGCATAAACGGAACTAGTGGTGTGATAGCGGTGTGGTTACAAGGATTGCAGCTGAGAAACTACGGGAGGCTTTCATGTCAAACCCTTGGCCCAGACGATAAGCGCCCCCATCGCTGTATTCTGTAGTTCTGTGGTCCCTAGAAAGGCGTTGCTAAATTATGAGAGTCCTCATGGGATTGTCTAAAGTCGGAGACGCTGTGGTAGTATCAGGCTTCGGGGGGCATGAGGAAGTATTAAGATATTTCGGAAACTTTAAATAACGTTGAGCACCCTAGACTTTGAGCCTTAGATCAAAAGCAAGACAGCATGGAGTGCCCATGGGTTCGGCTTGGCTTCCGCCCGAACCAATGGCCCTTTACACTTGGATCGCCAGGTGTAAAGGAGGCATTTACCACAAAAATGAAACCCTGACACCTAAAAGCCATGAAGCAGTGCCTAAGATTAATTTGAATGCTGGAGATTCAAATGGACGGGAACATGGGAACCAAATGGCAGCTGGATTTCTACAGTGTGTTTTAAAGATTGTAGTGTCCCTTACACCTATAAAATCCACGAATTCTAAGCCCAACAACCAGGCAGAAGACACTTCGCTCCGTTTTCAAAGAGTACGGGCTCGAACATCAGCGAAGCAACTGGCTATGCATCGGGGGTTCCAAAAAATCAAATTTACGACATGGGCCCTTTCAGAGTCCGTGGACAGGAGCTCTGGGAGTTACAGAATTTAGCCCTTTGAGGGTCCCTTAAAACCTAGGTAGGCATTTCACAGCGTGTTATGCATGAACGCGCCACGTTGCAAACTGAAGTCTCGTTGACGTGTTATCTTTCGACGGAAGACGGCGTGATTCTTTCACTTGAAGCACGTGTTATGCATGAAGTGATGGACCTGTCGCACAATTTGGACGTGAAATAGAGAACCGTGCTTCTATTGTGAAATTACGTGAGAAGCGAAAATAGTGTTAACCAACCGGCAGAAAAGGGTGTTTACGATTTGGAGCTAGGGGCTTAGGCTTTCCATCTTGGAGTCCTTTCTGGGTGCACTCATATCTACTTAGGATATTTGGGTGCTTTAAATCCGTTTTGGGATAGCCCAAGGTAGTGGTTTCTGAAATAGCGGGCCCTGGGGGATGCCGCGGACAAAATGGGAGTTGCAAGGCTTGCGAGGAGGTATCTGTCAACATTCGAAAGAGACGATTTGGATGAGAATCCCGTAAAGGGCTTAGGATTAGTTATCATAGGGGTTTAAAGAGAAGTGGGGCTTGGAATTCGGTCTTAAGTGTTCGAAGCTGATTTTATTTGTGGGGTTAGGACAGGGTTCGGAAACTACATAGACAGAGAGTTACCATAGAGCTTCCTGAGGATTCTAGATTCAAGGTCCCTCCAAGTAGGGCTTGCCAGGTAACTAAAATGTAAGGTGTTGGGTGCGGTGTAGGCCAGTCAAGGGTTGAGGTTTGTCGGGTTGAGGTGCAGTCTGCAAGGTTTGAGGGTTTCGCGGCATCAAGACTTGAGAGTTTGAGAAACCTTCCAAGTGTCCAGAATTGCGATGAGATGGACAGTTCAGCGCAGGGGGAGATGGAGGATCTTCGTAGTAAATGAGATGCTCTTCGTGTTAGGATGAGTAGGATCAGTAACAAGTTTTTGCAGCACAAGAAGCCTGCTACTTTTGAGGAAGTAGCTGGGCTGCCAGGCCACTTTGGGCCAATCCTATGCACCAGAAGCCCTTGTGCCTGTACCCTGTGGACCTCCATGTCTCACGAACACAGAATCCTACACCACACCTTAGCTTGAATGTTCCCACAGGCCCGGAATCCAAAACACCAGAGCACCCAACCCCTTCCACACCTCGCCCAGCCAGAAGCTTCAGCAGTAAGGAATAAGATATATGAGATGTGGGTCATTCAGAGACTACTTTCGCAATCCAGTCCCACGTTCCCTTCCAAACAAGCCCCAAAGTCACCCCCTCCGCAGCATCATGATCCCAAACTGAAAGCCCAGGTGTGGTTATTAGTACTTCATACGACATCGTTTCCCCTGGTGATGGCCACATGCGCAGACACCAGCACAAAAGGCAGGACGTAGTACTTGAAAGGGGAGGCCTTGCTTTTTGTCATTTACTGGCTTAGAGTATGAGCCATTAAGATTAGTATGGGAGGTCATCGCAGAGGTTGACATGACTGCAAATGCGTTATGCGACTTCTATATGTGTTCTCTCTGAAAAGCAAGCATATGAATAGAGGAGGCGACAACGACTGATGCACCACCAGCTGCTAATGCGACAGGAAATGAACCTCTAACTGGGAGTATCCAAAAAAACTGGCCAGGGGGCTGGGCGTGGGCGAGGACTGTCGTTACGCAGCCTCGGCCTCAGGGGGGCAGTAAGTTTGAAATGTAGGGATGGTTTTTCTAGAAGCCACCACACACACATAGCGCTCACGAGCTCCAAAACGCCGCCGAGGTCTTCAGCGATGCTACCATGAAACTCGGTGGCTTGTGAGAACAACTTTGTGGGCAGTGAAGGTCAGGGTTTCGGGGCTCCGTGCCTAGGGTGTATGCTGAATTACCAAAAGAATCTGCCGCATATGTTTGTTTCAAAGAGGAGGCCTCGTCTTGCGCAAAGTCATCGGACCCTGAACCGATGGTTACGTAGTCATATTATACCCCCGCTACAACAGCAAGACCGCCGAAATGATCGTCCGAGATATGTTCCAAATTGCTGCCGAAGATTTGTCGTTTGCATTCACTGTCCGCAATTCTCTCCCTTTCAAGTGACATACTCCTCACAACCGCATGGCGTCCCTTTTGTCCCCTGGCCAGCCGCATGTATCATTCTTTCTATGTGCCGAGGAACGTGGACACACCCTACCACGTCCCCCCTCCGGAGAAAACTGGAGACAGGAGCCGCTTGCCCGAATCCAGCTTGAAGTTCGAGGGAATGCGCACTTAGGGATTTCTGGACAAAGGGCTTTAGGGAGTCAATTGGCTGCAAGGTGTCTCGGCTGCGGTACCTGAGATGTTGCGGTGTAAGCCTGATGACGTAGGCGTCACAATTCCTGCAAGACAAAGGTTAATCATACCGCAAAGCGCTCAGACCTTGCTCCCGTGCCCTCTCTAGACTCTTGAGACTGGACGCCGAGGATTCTTGCGTATTTCCTAGATTTTCTTAGGGGTGGCACAGCTGCAGAAATTTGGGGAGCTCATCCCAACAGCGCATTATACAGTCTAGGGCGGATAGCTGCTAGCACCAGCCATGCTCTCATTTGAGATTGTTGTCTCAGCGATATGTCTCGCCTCCTGTGGCTGTTGAGGTCATCACGTTTTCGTTTTGTGCGTCACGCTATCTACCCAAGAATTCAAAAACCGTGAAATTGATGCATCATGCTCTCGCCTGGCATCCAGGTTGGTATTGCAGTATAGGCATCCTCTGGCCAATGCTCATGATACATTTTCTGCTCTTGGAAGCAGAAAAGCCAAAGATACTGATGCTGACAATCTTACAGAGTCATCGCGGGTCGCTCAGGTATGGCCGAAGCCCCCGCCGCGCAATCTCCGATTCTGGAGACTTGGCAGCGCAAAGGTAACAACCCCACCAGGTCAACCCAGTGTCCCCTGTTGAGAAGGGGGAAGCTTATCAAGTCAGCACTTATAGGCCTAGGCTCTCCCTCTCTCTCCCCTCCAGAGCGTTGGGGGTGAAAATAATTTGCATCCAAAATGAGCTATGGGAGTCCATGGAGACACAAAGACAATGTCTGATGTCAGGTGAGGGAGTAGAATCAAGCCTATCTGACTGGGTTCACCCACACTATCTGTCGAAACTTTGGAGCAATTCTTCGCTAGTAATTGCAGGTTGGAAAGTGTTGTGCTGGTCTTGCAGGACTTCTTGCAAAAACTCACCTCAGCTAGATAGCTTCGGCCTGGGTGATAAGGCGCGCTAACTTACAAACTTGTAGCTACGAGAAATGGTTTGCTGCATTAGGATTGTGAACCTCAGGCTAGCAAATTCTTGGATCATTGTGAAGGCGGCTTGCTTTGACTTTTCTTGGGATTATCCTTGCAACTCCTGTCTGGCGCAAACGAGATCTCTATGAGGAAACACCTCAAAGATGCTTGTAGGCAAGGTTACAGAATCCCATGTCGGGTTCGTAAACGTGACAGGTTTGTTTTGCCATGGTAGATACTCTTGTGCTGCTTGGTCATTAGATGGCTTAGAAAACCTGCTGATGGATGTCGACTGAGTCTACTGGCCAGGTAGGACAGACAGACAACACATTTTTGTGGGGGCTTGGGTCCATCTTTCTTTGGGATAGTGGAGCTAGTGAGCTTCTTTCCAGCTCATCTTACGGTAGCGCCTGCAGACTTCCGCCACTGATGCCAAGGACTTTGCTCAAGCTGCCGGGGGCTTGAGAAGATGGTGTTTGGGGTCTATGGCTTGTTCTTGTACAGTAGGCACTTGGCATTCCAGGGTCTTCCAAGGGAATCCAAGCCAAATCATGGGGCTTGAAGTGTTGCATGCTGGGATCTGTGCCTGGGACGTGTTGTTTCTCAGCTGCATGCTGGCGAGATGGGCTCACCTTGCCCCAACCGAACAGTCGCCGCAAAAGGCAGGACCAGTTTTGCGACACCCCTTCATTGCTCACATATCTACAAGAACTAGACGGTCGGTCAAATACCACCCCAGAAACCTAAAACCTAACAAGCCGGCAAGCGGCAAACACCCAAAGCCCCCAACCTGGATTAAAGATCAAACCCTAAAACCCAAAACCCTGAACCATCCAGATGTGGGTCACTGCATGTGGGAGCCTTGAGGTTTTCTTTGGGTTGTGTTCAAGTGTGCTTTGGGTTTGGGGTTGGGGGGTGGAGTTCTAGCAATTGCCGGTTCACGACTTTGTGTTTTGAAGGAAATTCTGGGTCACCAGTCTGGGTCCAACAGGGTTGAATGGATTTCGTGACTTGGCCCTGCATTCACACAGAGCTCGTCCAATCTTGCGAGAATTGGTCAAGACTCAAGACTCTCAGAACTACATGTCTGAGAGAACCCATCTAGGTCACCATGTTCTGTATATACCCCGAAAAAAGTCCGTTCATTCCCCTGATGAGTTGATAGTACCCCACCTATGTTTGTTTATAGTCCCTTGGTGTCTCTTGTAAATACTACCCCAAAACAAAAGTTCCGATCATCCAGCCCCTGAGACTCAAGCCTTAGTCCTATGGTTTTCTGAGGTCGTTCGTCGGTGCATGCAGCTTGTGGATGTGGTGGCTGGAGAAGTTGCTGCTGGCCACGACTGTGCCGCGGCACTACGCAAAAGGCTTTTGAGTTCGAGTGGCGGATCTAGGGGATGTGTTTACTGTTTTGGGCTTTGGACGTAGGGCTGCCACTGCGCAGTTGAGAGTTTACAGCTATACTGCTTTGGCTTTGCTCACGCTCCAGAAGATGCGATCCTCGGCGTATCATACTGGATGCGTGCTTACTTAATCAAACAGCTCTACGACCTAAGCCCCAGTGTTAAACAAACACCAAAGCCCGAACCCAATATGGGCATACCTAGAGCTGCCCCGGAGAAAACTAAGGCTTGGATCAGGACTGGTGCCCACTCCGTGGGGAGCTTGATTGCGGGGTTCTGCGGTCAGGGTTTCTGCCGGGCTTATGCCCTTACCCCTAGATTTAGTTTGTGGTCTGGAGCTTCGGTTTAAGCTTGGAGCTTGATTCGTGCAGGTGGTTTCGTGGAGCTGTTGAGGGCATCCGGGCTTCAGGCCTTATGGTCTTGAGCTTTGCATGCTCCAGCTTTTTACAGGGTGAGGGGTCCAGGGTTGAGAGCGCGCTGGAGTTGCCACATGCTCCCTGGTTTTGGTCAGAGATGTGTCTTAGTATTGTACGCATCTACTTCAATCTGGGACCCCAATCTTCCTTTGCTTCCGATTCGAGGACTAAAGGACCCGTCAGCTTCAGCCATTTAGTTTTGCCATGAAAGAACCGTGTCGTGTTGCTGGCTTCGGACGGACGCTTGTGGAAGTGCTGTGCGATAGCTACAGCAAATTTGCCCAGACTTCATGCTGCTGCAAGCAATGCAGGACCTGAGTAGCAAGCCCTGGTGGGGAGGTCTAAACCCTGAAAAACAGCTCTGAAGCCAGCAAGTTTCTTTTCGTGGCAGAACTACAGTTGATTCAATTGGCTGTTTGCCTGCAGGTTGGGTACAGCCCTCGTTTGCTCAGTTGATTACGTTCTCGTGCCTTACTCTTGCTGTTGCGCCCCCCAAGCACTCATTCCCACGTGATGACTCACCATCCCTACATTAATCTCATAAAAGTGGGCACTTCCATACATGCATACCTACAAACTCATAGATGAAGCCTACAGGGTTTAGGTCTAGTGTTTAGGTTGTGGGGCTTGGGGCCCTGAACCCACATGAAGCACTGAACCCTGCAGCCGCTGCTTTCCCGGTGCTTCTGATCTTAGGTCCACCCAGGACCACGGAGAAGAGCAAGCCGCTCGTTTCAAAGAGCAAGAGAGGGTTGGCAAAAGCATGATTTTTGTGGGTGGAGCAGTAATGAGGACGATCGTATTGTGGGGCACATGTGGGGCCCCTTGCTTATGGAAACCCTTGCATTTGTCTAGGTTCGTCCCTTTTGCCTTTTTTGGTGGCACACGCTCCTCGCTAATCACCCCATATCACAAGAGGAACTTGTTGTTGATCTAGGTTCCTGGAGTCCCAGTTGCAAGACAGAATACGCTCCTCAAAAAATTGGGTTCGGTGGTCCGGGCTTTGGTGTTGGATGGGTGTGTTGGGGTTTGAGCTTCATCCGGGGCTCACACAGCTTCGGGTTTGAGAATCTAGGTCAAAACAGTTTTTCCCAACAATAGAAGTAAGCAAGAATTCTAAGCAAGTCCAAACCTTCGATGCTTGTGGCCCACACCCTGAAGCTGGTGTTCAGGAGTGGCTTCCTGGTCAAGCAGCCGCGCAATGGCGCCCAGCTCTCGCAGTCGCATGAGATTCTCAGCTGCAAAATCCATGCTAGGTCCCAGACGAGATGTGCGACGAAGGCTTAATCTACAGATTGATTAGTTCACTTGCCCCAAACGCGGGTCCTCTGCAATGAGCAGACTTTGGCTGAGCAAGTTGTGCACGAGCTCGGAACTCTTTGGGGGGTTCCGTCATTAGCTTGATGTTGCGATGACGATGATTATCTGAATGGTTATCATCACCATCAGCAACTCTCACAACAATCCAGAAGCGCCAAACCCTCACTTAGCACCCCTCAGTCCTTGCTAAACTGGCCGTATCCCTTGGCTGCTACTAGCCTGAGGCGGTATTTCGTTCTTTCCAGAGGCGTGGTTGCTGGACTCTGGAGTCCAGCAATTTGGGTATAGGGCATGGGTGGTGTGT